TACTTTCGCCAAGGTCGAGCTCCACCCAAGGCGAGACTTCTGGGGACCAACCAAATCTCTCTGCATTCCCGGTGAAGCCCAGCGCTGAAATTGCTGGATCGTCAGCACCAGAGATGAAGTTGGCCGGTGGGTGTTCGCTGTGGGTGCTGCTCAGGCTCGCAGAGACGATATCAACCTCGGTGCTGGACCTGATAGAAAGCACGTCAGGTGAGGGCGGCTAGATGGAGGAGCGGGAGGGTTCTGGCGAGGCAAATGGCTGTCTCGCACCGGGGGCATGCCGGTGACGGGGGCGGTGCCGCGACAGCGGCGCCGGCAGCCGCTGGAGGCGGACAGGGCGCCTCGGACAGACGCCGGCGCTCCGCCTCGACGACGGGGTCCGCGACGCGATCGATCGACGACGCGTCCACCACCACGTTGGCATTCGCGCTGTCACGTGATGCGGGCTCGTCCTTTGCGGCGTTGAACCTCGAAAAGGCAAACTCGGTCGCGTGGACGCTCGCCACCTCGTAATCCGACACCGTGCCCTCGATGGCGCCCTCTGCCTGGGCGCTAGTGGTATAGTGGCCAGCCCACGGGTAGATGTCCTTCTTGCCGTGCCGCACGAGCCCCGGCGTGGCATAGGACTGTCCGATGATGCCGTGCGGCCTGTCTCGAGACGGAGCGTCGCCTCGCGCGGAGAATCCAATGTCCAGACGGTGCTTTGGGCCGGCGACGTGATCCTCCGCGCGTGGGACGGAACGCATTCCATGCACCTTTACCGTCCAGTTGCGGAATGCGAAGGTGGCGCTCGAGTAGCCCATCGACACTTTTAGATCATAGCATTCCTTGTGACCGCGGTTCCCAAACTTGAAGGGGCGACCGACGCACGTTCCATTGATCACTGTCCAGCCAAAGTTCTCCGGATTGAGCTCGGACGCCCAGAATGAGGCGGTCGCGCTTCTCTGGGGAGCAAAGCGCGCAATCACGTGCGCCTCGGTGAGGAACGAGCCGTTGATTGTGAGTGCGCCATCGTGGATCTTGAACACGGCCTCCTCCGTCTTCACGTTGACTGAGAGGCCCGGTGCAGACAGAAAGTTGTAGAGCGCGTTGGGACGGCCGCGGAGGTCGGCGGAGCCTCCATACGCGAAGTTTATGTGAGGGTCGCGGAAGACCTTTGAGGCGAGGTCGCAGGCAGCGCTCTCAGATGCCAGGGGCGCCGCGCATAGCGGCAGCATGTGGGGATCCCTTCGTTCTGGACGATGGGACGCGCGAGTTTTTGGCCCAGTAATCTATTTTCGGAGATCCACAGCCGTTGCATCTTCTTTTCGCTTTTGTTCTTCCTGCGATTTCTTTTCTATTTTCTTTTAAGTAGGAGGGTAGGGTGCCAACAGGACCGACCCACAAAAGAAAACAGCTTCCGCGTCACAAACAAAAACTGCCCTGCCCGGCACAACCAGGTTAGTGGCACGGCACCCGCGGCGCTCCTGTGCTCGCGACGTGCCCGCGCTGCGCGTCGGTCGCGACCTACGCGCCGGCGCTCGGCGCACCCAAGTCTTAGCTGGAGTTGATCGTTGCTTCCCTTTCGCGAGGCGGTGCGGACTGCCGGAGGCCTCGGTCTCCCCTCTGCCCGTGCGACTTTCGCTAACTCCCTCGAGCCTAGATCGTCTCTCTTCGGCGCGCTCGAGCACGTTTGGCACCAAGAGGCTTTGATTCTTACGACCCTTACCCGCCAAGGCAGGTGTGGCGTGTGCACTCTGCTAGTACTTGAGCACTTGACTCTTGAGCACTTGATAGGGTCGATTCCGCATGGTACGGGCCCCTAGTACTTGTGAGCTCACACCACTACACTGTGGGGGGTGCCCGAGCATGATGTATGTGCGCGTCTGCGCGTGTGTGGGACAGACGTTGTTGTCCTATGCGCGGGGCTTCCCGCGGGGACCGAAGACGTAAGAGCAGCAGCAGCAGCAGCGTCACAAAAATCGCGGGAGACGCATGTGCGTCGCGGATCTCCCGGGCTCCCGCGTCTCCCGGGTCCCGCGGGGGCAAATTATTGGCACCAAACACACCACACGCGGTTTGCGTTTAGGGTTGCCTAACGTTAATTTGGGGCCTAACAGTTGCGCTATTACGCCACACGCGGCCACACGAACGAGTGGGTGCGAGGACGGCTCGGCGAGGGGCTCACGGCGGGGTCGCACACGGCAGGGGTGACGGGGCCGCTGTGGAGCGATGTGGTCAGGGGAACGACGAAACACAAATGGGACAAGCGCCAGCGGATCAAGGATCAGCACGGCGTCCGCGAGATTGAATTCGCCGACGTGGATGATCACAACGTGGTGGCAAAGACCGTCATGGGAGCGCGTGTGCGGCAGCAGGCGGGGGTGCCACACGGAGCGCACCACGAGAGGATTATGCGGGGAGAGGCGGGGAGAGAGACCCCGGGCGCCGCCACAAGGAGCGAACTCAGGGGCTGCCTCGTCTGCAAAGCCGCGAGGGAAGCGGCGAGGAGGGCGGCACTAAAGCGAGACCCGCTGTGTCCGATCGTGCGGAAAGCCGCGCAGCAATGGACCGAGGAAGATGAGAACCCGCCTAGAGCGACGATGGCGCACTTGCTTAGCGGCGCCTGCCTGGGGAATAGGGAGCAGGCCAGATGGTTCCTCAGAGTAGCGCGAGCGCAGACGGGGACGGCGATCAGCAAAGTAGCCCAGGCGGCACCCGACTCCAAGGATACACTGAAGACGCTGAGGATAGCGCATGTCGCTGCGCTGAAGGGCTCACGCTATAGGGTGCTGGATGAGGACGGGTACGATGCACTAGCCCCAGCCGTCGGGGGGTGTTGCCGGCGCTGGTAGATGATCTCTCGGAGAAGAGCCGGAGGGACCTTGGCGCCGGGGTCACGAGGAACTTGCAAATCGTGGCCGAGGCGGCGACGGGAGCGGTGCAGAGGTGGATCCAGCTCAATGATGAGGCTACGGCGCGCATAATGAAGAGAGAGGAACACACTGAGTGGCTGAGGAAGCTCTTCACTGGGTGGAAAGAGGCTCGGCCGGCCTTGAGGGAGTCGCGGAGGAGGAGGGATAACGCAGGCAACGCAGGGACGGGCCAACAGCCAGTGGGACGAAAGATGGCCGCGACGGCGGCTCAAGCGGGAGGGAGCGGAGACGGTGGGCAGCGAGCGAAGTGGGTGAGACTGATGATGCTCCTTCGACTTAGGGAGCGATTCAGCTGCTGGGCGGGCTTCAGACTCAAAGCATAAAGAAGGGGAGAAGCAAGAGGAGAGACGCCGGTGATGACGAAGCAGAAACTAGCGCAGACGAGAGCAGGGCAGAGCCGGGGACTGGGGAGCCGGAGCAGACGGCATCGGCCGCCGAGGGAACGTTGGGAAGAGGCACGAGGAGGGCGGCGACCTCGACCGACTATGGAGGACCCGTCGCCAGACGACGCAGGGCAGAAGACGGTGAGGCGGAGCAGACGCGCAGGGCGAGACGAGGGAGGGAGCAGGACTTTGCGGAGATCAGCAGGAGGATGTGCGAAGAGATTAGGAGCAGCAGGGACCCGAGGGACCATGTGGAAGAAAGACGGCTAGTGCACTAGTCCCCCGTCGGGAGGACGACCCCGGCTAGTCGCCGACCACACCCACAAAGAACCCTGCACAAAGATCGCAAGGGCGGGGGCCTGTTCCTTTTTACCCATCTCACAGTAGAGAAGTGTCCGTTTTTATTTATTATTTATTTATTGTTGGCTGAAATCCTCAACGTTGTTCAAGTGTTCACCCCAGCCCATGCTGTTACTGTTTGTTCCTGTTGTTCCTGTTATTACTGTTGTTCAGCGGCCAGCAAGCAGAAAATGGCAAAAAACCCGCACTGACACTGTGTGGAACGGGCTAGCTCAAGGTTGCCTTAGATTGTCAATGGAGAATGGCCGCGTTCTCGCCCCTTTCCTGTACGCGTGGGTCTCAGAGGACGAATGCGCACCGGATCTTCGAGGACTTCAAAGTCGGCCGCGCCCCACGGCTATCCCGCCGGCTCTCGAGTGTCGCAGCGCGACGCGCTTCACCCCTCACTCCGCGCTGCGAGTCGATCTGGAGACGACGCTCGGCCACCGCCAACTCCACCCTGACGTGACGCACATGCGCCGCGTGTCCCCCCTGAGGGTGTCCTTGTATAGTATAGTTGGTTGCGAGTTAAAAAAAGCCCGTTCCGCACCCGCACCCAGCACCAGTACACATGCCGTTCTGGCGCCCCTCGGCTGGCCAGAGGACGACTCACAATGCAAATTCGGAAAGACATCACGAGGGGCCGTATAAACGGTGCCGCAGCGGCCCGGGACACTAACAGTGAGTTGCTGCCACTCGCCCGGCCTCCTCCCCCTCGGGCTCGCCCGGAAAGTGGGCTTGCGCACCGGCGCCCCCCCCAGCACGCCGACCCGAGGTGTACCCTCCGGCCACCTGGGAGGGGAGCGGAGTCCGATTTTGGCCCATTGGCTTCATCATGATGGATACGGAGGTGGCCAGCCCTTGGTTGTGCACCTGCGGCGCGAAGAGGAGGTGATCTCGGCGGACGACGGCCATGCCGAGAGCGGGTGCAGCGCGGAAGAGGGTGCGCAGCGCGTCGCGGCCGCGCGCATGGGAGCCGGGGGGATGGCCGGAGGGGGCGGGACGCCTGCATGTCCTCGAAGCTCCCAGCCGCATACGCAAGCCGAGCCGCGAACGGCGGGGAGGGAGTTTTGGAGGGTCAGCCAAGGGCGCGCATGGCGAGTGACAAACTAACGCAACCTCCCCCCTCCCTGGTTTCTCATCGTCGACGCGCACTGGACACTAGAGAGATCGTCTGGTCACTGGTGGGTCACTGCCAGGCCTTCCTTACTGGTGTTCAGTCGGCCTAACGTTAGCTACTGTTGTTGGGGAGCCCCACTGTTGTTGCTGTTAACACTAGCATGTAGCAACACTGTTCAGCTCCCAACGTAGGTTAGGCAACCCTCTATTTCTCGTCCTCTATTTGTGCGTTTCGGTCCGATCTCCGAAATGGAACTTTCTAGCAAAGGTAAACCAGACACACTTGCGCACACGGCACACCGTAATGCACATGCATATAAGACTGAGTGCCCCCACGGAGCTCGCAGGCCTTGAACAGGCCGCCGACGCGGGAATCAAAAATTATCAGTTCACAAACGGGTTGCAACTGCAGACGAGCCCGTGCAGTAGGAAGGAGAGGAGCGAGCCGAGGGTGAGCCCGACGTTGAGCGCGAGGACGAGCAGCGAGGCGGCCTGCTTCTGCTCGGGCGGCGGCACGGAGAGCGGCCCGTAGATGAGCGGGCACGCGGTGAGGAAGCCTGCAGCCGCGCGGGGCACAGCAGGGGGGGGGGGGGGGGCTTCGGGGACGAGGCGCAGATCCGGGTGAGGCACCCCGAGGGGATCGGGGTCGGGCGGGCGGGCGCGGGGGTTGGGCGAGTCGTGAGGGGCTTGAGCGGGAGGGAGGGGTGGGGGGGGGGGGGGGCGGTCTGCAAGCCGTTCGAGGCGGCGAGGAGGGCGATGAGCAATAGCGGCGCCGCGTCGGAAGGCAGCAGCGTCGGGACGGCACTGTCTCCGGGGCGCATGTGGCAGACCATGAAGAGGGGGATGAGGGCGATCCGCGACAGCGCCAGCGCGAGGGTGGAGCGGCCGCGCACGAGGTGGCAGGACGGCGGCGCGAGCCGGGCCGCCATGTCGCCTGAGGGTGATGGGTGAGGCAAAGGGCGGGGTGAGGGCTAGGGGGCCAAAGACCAGACCAGCAAACTCGAGGGCGGGCGGGGTACGAGGCAGGGCTGCGGGGGGTAAGGGTGGCGTGCTCGAGCTGCTGATGGCGGACGCAGTGGCGGCAAGGGTAGGGGTAGGGGCGCGGGCCACACCCAGGTTGAAGACGACAAACAGGACGGCGGGGAAGAGGCCGCGCCACGCGGGGGAGGGCGCCGTGGAGGTGACCATGCCGCTGATGGCGGGGAAGATCCCTAGCGTCACCTACTCTCACCAGCCCCTCGCCTCCTCTCGGCCTGATCTCGCCCCAGCTCCGCGACTCTTGCCGCTGCCGCGCGGGCCGCGTAGTTGGCCACCAGAGTGCCGGCGTGCCACCGCACCGCAAAGAGCGTGCTCCACACCTCGCGCCGCGCCGCCGCCGCCGCCGCAGCGCCTTCTGGGCCGCCGAGCCGCTCCTCGAGGTCGCCCCCTCGCCCCTCGATGGCCGCCGCGTGGCTAGCCAGGCCTGCGTCGGGGAGGGGCCCTGTCAGCGGCCAGGAGGCAGAGGTCTCGCGCCGTGCGCTCGGAGCACCGCGCGAAGACGAATCCCGCGGAACACAGCTGCAGTGCAGAGCTGCAGTGCAGAGCTGCAGTGCAGCCGGCAGTGCAGGCACACGTGTCCTCTCGAGCGCACGTGTCAGCCTCGCGTCCGTGTTCCGCATCTACACTGTTCCGCATCTAGACCGCCAAACCGCTGGTCAAGGCAACAGTCGGTCCCTCGGCCGCAACCGCCCGCGGCCCGACGCAGCAGCCGCCGCCGCCCGCCGCGCCCGCCGCGCCCTCTCCCACCGCCCTCCCCGCCACGTAGCCACCGCCTCCCCTCCCCTCCCCCCCCCTCCCCCCGCGCGTAGCCCCGCCAACAGCCCCAACAGCCCCGCCCGGCGGCCCGCTCTGACTGCTGCACGAGGCGAGGGCGTGCTTCGCCTGCACGTGGCGCGCGAAGGGCGTGGCGTCGGCCCAGGCGAAGGAGGCGAGGCACGCCGCGAACACCGCCACCGCCACGCCGTAGTATGCGCCTGGCTTGCGCGCGTGAGGTCAGGGGCGGGAGTGCGGTCTCGTGCGGTGCTTTCGGAGCCTCGCGAACCCGCGGACCGCAAAGACAGCGGGACGCCGCTGAGCACCGCTGCATACCGCTGCGCTTAGGTGGGCACGTGTCCTTGAGAGTGGAGCAGAGCGACGGCGCGACTCATCTAGCGCGCGCGCCCGCAGCGGCGATCGCATCGCGCTCGCTGCCTGGCAAAGGGGGGCTGACGGTGAGAGGTGTGCGACGAAGCTTGCGCCCTCTAGTCGGGCGTGGCGGTGTGTGGGACATGTCCAGGGCGTGTTGGGGATGTGGCCTCGGGTGGCAGGGCGGCCGAGGCGGCGTGGGAAGTCTCGGGAAGAGTGTAGCGCCTGCGCCACCCGCCGCGACGAGCTGATTCTGCGTGGGGACGGTGGTGGCGAGGCCGGCGACGGAGACGGCGAGGCCGGCGAGGGCCATCCCGCCCACCGCGACCTGCGTGTACCGCGCCGGAAACATCGCGCAGTACGCGACGACCGACCCGTTGAGGAGGCCCGTGGCGGCGGCGGCGAGCGCGGTGCAGCAGAGCGTGACGGTGAAGCTGGCGGTGGAGCTCGCCTCGAGGAGGGCGTGGAGCTCGTCGGCGGGCCGGCGGAGCGGAGAGAGCGTGTACACGGTGAGCGTCGCAAAGACGACCAGCTCGCACGCGAGGGTGGCGAAGATGGTCGTGCGGAGCCGGATCACGTGCTGCAGCCGCTGGAAGGCGACGATGGAGGCGAGCGCAACGGCGTTGAAGGTGATGCTCAGCATGGACTCGAAGGAGGAGGAGAAGGGAGACGCGGCGAAGCGGAGCTCGTAGTACTTGAGCGGCGTGATGATGGTGTTGAAGGCGAAGAGAGTGCCCATCCCCTGCAGGCCGAGCACGAGCAGCACGAGCACGCCGGCCGGGTCCTGCGGAGCCTCGTCTCCCGCCGGCGGTGGCTCGGCGGCGGTCATGCCACTACCACCGCCGTGGGCAAGCAGGGTTCGAATGCTTTGGGAGCGGGCGGGCGCCACAGCGGCGCTTTACCAAGGGCTAGCTCAAAAAACACAAAAAATGCTCGAGGCGGCGGCAACAGCGCCTACAAGGGAGCAGTCAAACAGGCGCTCGACGTCGCCGCGGCGCTCACCACGGCGGGCAAGAACCTACCCAGCGTCGAACAGTGGCGGCGGTTCAGGGCGGCGGCGTCGGGAGCCCTCCCCGCCCCGACACAATGCGAACGAGCGGCCACGAGGGCGAGAATGGCGGCAACGGGCTATGTACCACCCCCCACGCCGAGGGGGGCGCGACGGCGAGCGCCTGCCCCTCACCGCGATGCAGGTGGCGGTGCGAGAGGCGACCAACGCAGCCAGGAAGGCCTCGAAGACGATTATGTGGACGGCGCATCGAATGGCGCAAGACGAACGCGCCCGCGTGGAGGGGCGGCGCCGCCGGGGAACAGGACGGAGACGATGACGACGACGTAGACCGACGACGACGGCGACGAGCGCTCACAACCGGTGCCAGAGGAGGGCGGCGATGACGGGGCAGGCAAAAAAATCTTGTAAAAACCGCACTTGAAACATGGGGCACGGTATGGACCAGGCGCCCGGGTCGCCCCGGAGCGGCCCCGCGCGGGGAGGTGGGTGGAGGGCGGGCACCACGCCATCGGGCAGGCCACGCGGGGACGCAGCTGGGGCCAGCGCGCGGCGCTAGAGGGCCGGGCGCAAACTTGTGGCACCTGCACCGGCACCGGCACCTGGGTGCCGCGAGTTTTGGTGGTTCGAAAAGCGGAGCGCGCAGTCCGTTGTGGCTCGAAACGCGATGCCTCCGCCGGGAGACACGGATGGCGCCGTCAGGAGCGACGAGGCTGGCGAGGCGCCGCATTCGGTCGTCGTCCTGCCGGCGACTAGCGATCTGAGCAGTACATTGAGGCCGTTGGTGGAGAGAGAGCGTCGCGAGCGAGATGACGAGGATGGAGCTGTGGGTGTAGCCGGTCGAGGCATGGCCGCGTCGTCCACGACGAGGCGTCGGAGCAGGGCGAGACGTCGAAGAGCCGTGACGGTGATTCTCGGGCCGAGGCCGATGTCTTATAGGGAGGAGGTGACTTGTCAGCGCCTTCGCAACGCGGTTCAATTGTGGACGAAGACGTACACGTAGAGAGATTTCACGTTGTAGAGCGCCTCTACATCGCTCCACAACGGAGGCGCTTCGTCCCGCGGCGGATGTAGAGCTCTACAGCTCTACAGCGCTCTACAGCGCTCTCCAGCACTCTACATCTCTACAGCTCTACAGCGCTCTACACTCTACATCCTCTACACCCTCCCTCAGCGTGATCAACAGACCCCCTGTCCGGCTAGGAGCCGGAACCCTGGGTTCCGGCTCTTAGCCAGATAGGGGGTCTGTTGACCATGACTCGCACCAAAACGCCCTACCTACCTACCTATTGCGGGCGCCAATCGCCAGGCTCCGTGCCCCACCTACCTACCTATTCCCAGGCCGCGCAGCGAAGCGAAAAAATACCCGTTAGCCCTCTGTGAATAGGCTCCCAGCGCCCGCCGCGCGCCGGCTTGTACCGCAGTGCGCGCCGCTCGCGAGCCCGCCAGAGCATGGCCCCGTTCGCGGCTAAACGCGCCGTCTCCCGCGCGAAGCGGTTATTTTCACCCCCCCCCCCCCACACACACACCACCACCACCACCTACCTACCTATTGCGGGGCCCTCTGGGGCGGTCAAAACCGGACCTACCTACCTATTGCATAGGCTCTGTATGTATGTAGGAAGGTGAAGAACAGCCAGGCTCGGACTGGACACCAACGCGGTATGGGTGGACGCTGGACAGATGATGTGGCGACAGGGTCTAACCGGGGCAGACCCCCTGTCTGGCTACTGTGCTGTATGAATGGTTGGGCAAGTTGTGGGGGACACGATCCCGGCGTGAACACGACTAACTGACGGATCCGCTCCTGACAGTGGCATGCACCGCGCCGCGGCGCGTGCCACTGTCTTTGTTTGAAGTAAAAAGTGGAATCAGAGCGCCGTCGGCGTCCCCCGATTTTGTCCCACGGACCGCCCGTCCGGGACCGCTCCGGGACGCACGCCGGCGAAAAGCACCATCAAGCTGTTGTACGGCCCGGCATCGCCTTCCCAGGCTTAGCTAGACTGAGAGATATTGTGCATATGGTCTGTCTCTACAATATACTCACTGACACTCCACCTCCCAGAGCTCGTCCCGGTCCGTCACGGCCATCCTCGTCCTCCGGAGGGCCCCCGGCCGCGGCGCGGTGCGGCGGCGTCACAAATCCGACCACAGAGCACCGGGACGCGGTCGGGCGATCTGAGGTCCAACTAGGCGTATGCATTGTCCATCCAGGGCTATCACCTGGACCCATCAACAGGCGCCTGCGGCGCCGTCACTCCCTTTGTTCTCTTCTCATAAAATCGGAGGGTCGGCCCACGGGGGGACTTCGTGAACTGAAGCGACCCAACGATTTTATGAATGGCAGCAAAGGGAGTGGGCGCCGTGGTCACGAGGTGGTGTCAACACTTGCCCAACCATTCATACAGCACAGTAATGCCGGCCCGGGTAGGCTGCTGCCGGGAAGCCGGAACTACATAAGCTGTGGCATAGAGACGCCGGCCGACTCGCCCGCATCCTCTGACAGGCACCGGCCCGTGCTCCACCGAAACGGCGGCATGTCGTCAGCGTTCTCGTTCGCACCGGCCGATACGAGTATGGTCATAGAGCCGATGCGCTCGGACGAGTATGAGCGCTGCATCGACTTGGCTTCGGCCGCCTTCAACACCAACAACCCGATCATGAAGCGCGCCGGCCTCTCGGTTGAGGACTACCGCGCGTACGCCCTGCTTAGCTGCTCCAAAGTCAAGAGCGTGGACACGGGCCTCTCTCTTGTCGCGCGCAGCGCGGATGGCGAGCTTCTCGCTTTCCTCTTCCTGAAGACGTTTGACCCATACCAGAAGACGTCTGACTTCAAGGAGATGATGCGCAAAAGTCGGACCACGGCGGGGCTCATCGAGCTCGTATCTGGGCTCTACGACAACGCGATCATGTCCCTGCGCATCGGGTCGATGGCCACGGGCAAGGCGCTGCACTGTCCCATGGGCGGCACACTGCCCAGCGTCAACGGGAAGGGGGCCGGCAAGGCGTTGCGCATGCGTGCCTGCGAGGTGGCGCTGGAGCGTGGCTTCAACACGCTGCTTGTCGAGCCGGCGCACGGAGCGACGCGCCACATCTGGACGAAGTATTGCGGCGGCATAGTGCGCGGCGAGGCGTCGAGCGAGACCTTCGCCTCCAAGGCGGGCGACTTCCCACTCAAAGGGAGCGAGTCGAGCGTCTCGGTCGTCGAGGTGGTGCTGCGCAAGGTGCACCGCGACGCGGCCGTGTACAAGCCCTTCTACCTAGCCAAGATCGTCGTTCTGAGCGCGGTCATGTAGCGAGAGTGCGCGCGGCAAAGGCGGCGCGCCGAGCAGCGGAGGCCGCGGCGCTGGAGGAGCAGAAGCGAGTCGTCGCGGCAGAAACGGAGGCGAAGCTGGCCGCCGAGCGGTGAGGCAAGCGGAGCGAGAGCGAGAGCTGGCGGAGCGCGAGGCGGCGGGGGCGGCAGAGAGGGCAGCGGCGCAGGACCACGCCCTCCTCGAGCGAGCGGCGGCGGCGGACCTCGAAGAGGCGCTGCGCCGGTCAGTGGCGGAGGCGGCTTCATCGGCGGCGGAGCACGAGCCGCCCGTTGAGTCGCTGGCCGTTGTCTCGCTAGCCAGTGCCAGCCTCGATGCGGGCCGCCCGAGGGCGCCCGAGTCCACCCTCGGCGGCGGCGAGACCACGTGCATCATCTGCTTGACGAGGCCGAAGACTCACATCGCGGTGCCGTGCAGCCACCAGTGCGGGCCCGTGCGCGGAGCAACTTGAGGACGAGTGCCCGTACTGCCGCGCGCGGGTCTCGATGTGGATGTGCCCACTTATTGTTTGAGCGTCAGGGGGCGGCTCGTGTGGCATCCCATGTGCGCTTTCGAGCCAAGCAATGTGTACTGTGTACCAGAGTACACCACAATCCACACAAAAATCACATGTGTGTACGCGCTTTGTATATAGCACTTAGCAGTGTAGGTGTGTTCGCAAAATAAATAATCGAGCCATCTAACTAACCCGAAGCCAAACCCCAGTTTTCACCCAGCACAGACGACCCCCACACCTCGTCCTCGAGTCGACACACGTAGAGTACTCACCCGCACTGGCCACTGCGGACACGCCAGTCCAGTCGCCACCGGCCACGGACGTGCCGCCACGGTCTTCAGCCCGGCCGCAGCGCGTCGAGCAGTCCCTGGAGCTGCTCCCCCTCCGCTCGGAGTGCGGATGCGTCGTGCGTCTCGGCCTCCGCCTGCGCCTCGGCCCGCTGCGCGCGATGCTCCAGCGACTCGCACAGGTCGGTGAGCGATCGCACCTCGTCGGCCAAGCTCGCCGTCTCCGCCTGCAGCTCCGCGATCCGGCCCTCGAGGTTGCCCTTGAGCGCGGCGGCCTCGGAGAGCTTGGAGGCCCCGAAGAGGAGCGACTTTTCGTAGACGGTACGGTAGGCGTCAATGGTCATGCGCGCCTCGCCGGCGACGCGCCGCAGCAGCGTCCCCCGACGGGGCTCGTCGCGCGCAATGGTACCGGCCAGCTCCTCGAGCAATGCGCCATGCAGCGCCTCGCGGACGGGGCAGATGCCGGTTGGGCGCGCTTGCCGCTCGCGCAGCGCGCGCTCGAGCTGCTCCTGCAGGGTGATGGCGTCGAGACGCGGGCTGCTGCTCGGCGGCTTCCGCCGCGCAGGAGAGAGCGGGCCGAGGCTGGCCTTCCCGCCCGCGCCGAGGACAGCTCCGCCACGCCGCACCCGGATGCCTGCGCGCCGCAGCGCGTCGTCGTGCGCGCTGAGGGCGCCCCGTGGTAGCTGGACGAGATAACGGCCGACCTGCGACGCCTCACCCCCGGTGAAGTCCGTCGTGTACACGTACCCGCCCTCCTCTCCCGCCGCATCGGGCTCCGGCGGCGGCCGCTGCAGGAACTGCGGGGGGCGCGAGAGGTCGAGGACGAGCTGCTCCGCATCGCCGCCGTGCGGGCGCAGCTCGCCGCTCAGGTCGGCCCATCGCGCCTCCAACTGGCCCTGCGGGCACTCGAGGACCAGCCTGCCATTCTCCCAGTCGAGCTCGAGCGCCACCGGCGCAGCGCTCCACGAGCCAACCGACAGGCGGCGGGCGGGCACGCGCGGCAGCAGCTTCTTGCCCTCTGCCCAGGGCGCGGAGGAGGTGGTGCCGATCGCCTCGCCCGGCGCGTCGTAGGGCCGCCCGATCGCCCCGCCGCGGCCCATCGTGTGGATGTGTGAGGTGTAACGGCTTCGGCCGAGGGCGGGCCCAGAAAAATCCGCGACCCGGCTCTGTCAGCAGTTCACCTCCGGGGATCTTCGTAAGAGCGACACTGAAAATGTTCGTAAGAGCTACATACACCGAAAAATCCCGATGGGGAGGAGTGGGGCGGACTACGGGGATCGGCTTCTTACACAGCTCTTCCTTGCAGCGAGCCCCCTCCAACCGACCCGCGCTAGGTCTCGGGGGGCGCGCGCGTCACACCCGACGACCTCGGGAACTAGCCGGGGCAGTCGGAGAGGGGGCAACTCCGTGCACTGACGGTCGGCCGTCAGAAAACACCTAAACACGCCTGCGTGGACCGCGTTACACCAACGAATCCTCGCCACCCAACGCGGCCAAAGGATATCCCCCTCAAGAACCTAGAGAGGCAGCTTGGACCGCTGCGCACAGCGCCATCGGAGGTATTTTCTTCTCAAAAAAAGAAAGAAAACAGACACGCCAAACGAGGGATGGGACGAGGACAGGGTCCCCACCTGCACGAGCAGGATTTTGGAAGAACGATTTCTTCTCAATAACAAGGCTGTGAACGTGGTTGTGTTTTGTGTGAACGGGGATCCCTACTCGTCGCCCTGAATGGTTGCCCAGGTTGTGGAGGACACGATCCCGGCGTGAACACGACTAACTGACGGATCCGCTCCTGACAGTCGCACGCGCCGCGCTGCGGCGCGTGCGACTGTCTTTGTTTGAAGTAAAAAGTCGAATCAGAGCGGCGTCGGCGTTGTCCTCCATTTTCCTCCCCTGGGCCCCCGTCCGGCACCGCTCCGGGACGCACGCCGGCGAAGCACCATCAAGCTGCTGTACGAAGGCCCCCGCACGGGGGGTCCCGGCCGACGTCATGATCGTCCGGACGCGGCCCTCCGTACACGGAAACAGGATACTGAAGGCATTCCCGAACTCAAAACAGGGTACCAAGGGCAGATATGAGCTCAGCTCAGTGAGATCTAGCTGCACATACCCTTAGTATCCAGAATAGTCCAGTCTGAAAAAAGTCGGTCCGACCGCGCGGAGCCGTCTGGCTGTCTGCAGAGCCCCCGCGGCGCGCGGGCACGCCTGGTCCTCTCGCGGCGGCGAGGAGGGAGCGAGCGCCGAGAGCAGCGTCAATCCTGTGTGCGAGGGGGGGGGGGGGGGAGACACTTATGCTCGTAGGTCAGGGAGGTGTAGATGGCCGGTGTGCCTGCAACCCACGGCCGCCCAAGCCGGTGTCTTTATTCAACGCTACAGTGTGCATGGCAGGAACGACAACGATAGTGGTGGCGCAACTTCGCCGGTCCCGTTCACTGCTTGAAAAGGCTGCACAGAGCGCAGTATGAGTTCGGGCGTTGGCCTATTCAGACTGCGGGGGCAAACGCATACGCCACAACCACGCTCCAGACCGCGCTGCTGATCCGGCAAATTGGAGGACCTTGTGCCTCTCGGCTTCTCCTATGCGTGATGCCAGCAGAAAGGACGCTGATTCATGCTCAAATGCGGCACTGCGTATCTTCGAAACACTGTTCACACTTGGAAAACTCATCGGATTTGGGCCACTTGCCTAGGCGACCCCAGACCCTTGGCGGACGATCATGACGTCGGCCGGGACCCCCCGTGCGGGGGCCTTCTGCTGTACGGCCGCGGTATCGCCTCCCCTGGCTTAGCTAGAGTGAGAGATATTGTGCACATGGTCAGTCTCTACAATATACTCACTGACACTCCACCTCCCAGAGCTCGTCCCGGTCCGCCACGGCCATCCTTGGCCTCCGGAGGGCCCCCGGCCGCGGCGCGGTGCGGCGGCGTCACAAATCCGACCACAAAGCACCGGGACGCGGTCGGGCGATCTGAGGTCCAACTAGGCGTATGCATTGCCCATCCAGGGCTATCACCTGGACCCATCAACAGGCGCCTGCGGCGCCGTGGTCACGAGGTGTTGTTCACACCTGGGCAAGCATTCATGCAGCACAGTAAGCCGAAGTCCGGTTTTGCCTTGCGCTTGCACACAGTCCTCTTCGCATAAGCTCCCCGCTCCAAGATGGAATCGGAGGACGGGTACGCCTCGGCGGGCTCCGCCTCCTCCTCGGTCGACTTCGATTTGCGCGCGCTAACGTGCACGGAGGAGGAGATGGACAGATTCCTTGGCCCGCGGCCCCCGCGGCAGAACCTTCCACCTCTGAGCCGGGACCAGCTCCCCCCGGGGGTGGTCGCGTCGCTCGGCGCGGCGAGCGCGGCACCCGCGCTGCCCGGCCTGGACGCGCTTGTGCAGCCCTTCGTTGAGGGGCCTGTGCAGGCAGTGCCCACCACCGTGCTGTTTGCGGGCGGCTCGGACAACTTCATCCTCGCGAGCGGCGCGGGCGGGCTTGCGGGCGCGCTGGCGGAAGGCGCCGCCCTCGCGAACCCGACAGCCGGCACCGTCATCGACACCGACGGCCAGGCCGACGCGCTCCAGGCCACGATGCTCGCCGAGGCGGCCGCCCTAGCGGCGTCGGCCGACCTTCCGCTGCCCGCGGATCCGGCGTTCCCTCCGCCAGCGGCCGAGACCTCAGAGGGCGAGCTGCTCGCCCCGCTGATCCCGCCGCCCTCGATGGCGGCCCACCCGCCCGACACCGCCTCGGACGCCTCCTCCGCCTCGGACGCCGACCAGCCGCCGCTCGATGACTTTGCCGCCGCGTCTGCCGACGAGTCGACGACTGAGGGAGACGTCGCGGCGGCGCTGGTGGCCGAGGCGGGCCAGCTTGCGGAGGAGGAGGCGGCGGCGGGCCTCGCCCCGGGCGCGGGGGCCGCCTCGCCCCCGCCGCTCCTCCCCTCGCCCCCGCCCTTTTCTCCGCTCGCCTTTGGGTCGGCGTCTGCCAGCTTTGGGGACGAAGAGGCGCAGCCGCTGCTGCAGCCGGCCGAGAGGAGGCCGGCGGGCGCGGCGAGGGAGGGGCAGCGGGCAGACTCGCCGCCGAGCCGCGCCCGGCCGCTCAACCAAGCGGCGGACCGGCTGCGCCGGCGCGGCAACATCTCCTTTAACCGCGGCTCTCTCGGCCGCGCCGCGGGCTTCTACACGCAGGCGATTGCGCAGGAGCCGGGCCAATAGATGCCCAGAGCACAGACGCATTCCGTGTGCATTGCAAGCAGCCCTCGCGACGGCAGAGAGTGCAGCTGCACTCACGCAGCCCGTGTACGCACGCGATGCGCCAAACACACACGGCACGATCCCCCCCCCCCCCGCTCGAA